ATAATACACTAAGTGCAACACTGACTACTGGACTGACTATTACTGTCAAAAAAAGGAATGGAATTCTATCAGAAGCATCTGTGGTTCTATCAAATGATTATTATAATAATACTCGTGGTCTCCTTGGTCAATATAATGATGATCAAGATGATGATCTCTTACCAAAGAGTGGGAGCAGCATTTTATCAACCAATTCTTCACTACAAGACATACATACAAATTTTGGACTAACATGTATGTTACTGCTGCTCTTACTACTCAATGTACTTTATATGTTTATACATAGGGATTATTGATGACCCCAGTGATAGTATCTTTACATACAGTCAGTCTGGTAGCTGGAATGCTTTTTATGAACCAGAATACACTCCATTGTTTGAAGCAAAGTTTAATGACCCAGAGCTAGAAGAAGAAGCAATAAAGGTTAGTTAAATTATTGTTATTATTTTATTTCTTGTACATGTATACACATGCATGTAGTTGTGTGGTGATGATAAGTTGTGCTTGTTTGATGTTGCTGCTACTGGTGACTTAAGTATTGGTGAGGCTACAAAAGAAACAGGAGAGGATCTACAAAGTTTAGAAGAAATATTTCAACCAAGTAAAATATTAAATGTAAATGAAGTCTAAATTTTAGTATTCTTTTCTTAGCTGTTTGTGATCCTCCATGCGCCAATGGAGCATGTGTTGGTAACAATAGTTGCTTCTGTTCTGAAGGATATCAAGGAATAGCTTGCGATCAATCAGGTAGTAGATCTAATAAAACTTGATACATTGATTAAAAGTGACATAATTAATGATATTTATATTAATATTATTTCTAGTACTCTATGAATGTGAGGAGAACATTTGTGTGAATGGAGGGACTTGTAGTTTGATTGCTGGAGACACTGTATGCAGTTGTTTAGATGGATATACAGGAATTAATTGTGGTACATTTATAGCTATTAAAATCAATGCATATTATTTTTTTTAATGTGTAGAGGATTTAATTTCAACATCAAGCCCAACATCATCTCCTTCTGTAACACCAGTAGCACCAGCCTCATTGTCTGAGATTCTTGTGATAGCTGTTGCTGTCGTCACTTTTATTGTTGCAGTGATTGTTTTTATACTGGTGGCAATATTCTGCATACAAAGAATGAAAAGAGATGTAAAGAATCCTCCTCACTCCCCACCAACAAAACCTTTGCCTCTAAATGATGATCCCGAACCTGAACCTGAAGTGTATGAATTAGATTGGCGTTCTGAAGGACAATGACATATAGATCTGTAGTATAATTTAATTGCTGCTATTAATGTAGATCTAGAATAATAATTATTTGCTGCAAAATAATGTATCAGCTCTAGTCTATTATTGTAGCATGTGAAAAAAATTTTGGCAGACTAGCCCTGCCCTTTATCAATTTTTATTAATAAAATACAATTATCTATAGTTTGGGGTGAGGGTAAGCCTATATAAAGCAGTTAGAGTTTGTAGCTCGGTTTATAGTTTTCACAGGGTCTTTCTATACAGAAAATATATTGAGGTATGTTCTCTGAGATGTTCTTTTCTTTTTATTTTATTCCAGGGTTTTTGTCTTCGAGGTCATTTTTGCGCCACTGATTAGATCGAGTTCTAATTGGATCTTAAGGCAACTGTGAGGGATAACGTTTCATAAGTGTTTGCATAGTATATTCTAGTCTACATTTAGGGCTTGTTTGTGATTATTTTAATTAAATAGTCTAGTCAAACTTGAGTTCACAGTACAACTTCATTGGCCATTTTTGCTTTTGTTTGTGATTTTTGAAAGTTTTTGCCAAGTTTTGGTACCACCCAGGTACTGTATAGCTGCTTAATTTTGAGGGTACAATTTTTGCTGTTTTGCAGGTTTTCCATATCTGCAAAACTTAATTCGTAAAATTATTCGTATCACCCTATAAACATGTGTACTTTAAAATAAGAACCATGAAAGTTAATTCACTAAAAAAGACTTGTGGCCTGACTCGCAAAAGTTTATTTTGTGGCTATACAGTATTAGGGTTTATGTGTCTATTATTTATTTCATGAAAGACTAAGTTTTTTTATAGCCAGGGCCACAAGTCTAAATATTTGCAAGCAGTAGTAGAGAACTGTAGATGCAGCCTGTACCATACCAGTGATAGTAATGTGGAAAGTTAATTAGCAAGTTATTGGCGATATGTATTACGTAGAATTGTAGATGTATGTGACAAAATATAATTATTATATAGTATTAATTAACTAATCTAAATTTTTAGTTACATAATAGTTAGCCTGGACCTCTGTTGTCAGCTGGCCATTAGTAAAATATATGTATCTTGTTGATTCATTTTTAGCTCATTTGTATAATAGTGTGTGGGTGTCTAAAGGCACTAGTATACTACTTAGCCTCTTTTATAATCCATTAACCCTCAAAATCTGTAGCTTATTTATAAGTATATCATGTATATGAGACAGAGATCAGGTAACAGTTGTATCACTTCATGTAAACCACGGAATCTATGCAACAGCCAATTAAAAACTACTGAACAGCACTGCTATGACAATCAGTTCTTATAGATATTTCTAATTACATTTGTAACACAAAATTAATAGGATAAAGATTACATAATACTATGTTGAAGTTATTTGACAATAAAATAGACTTGAATAGAATTTAAAATGTTACAAAAGAATTCAACTAATACAGAAAATACAACTAAAATGAGGACACTATATTGATAAGAATAAGTAACAAAAAGACCTTTTTTGTTTAAATGTATAACAAGTGGAACCTCATGAGTAGGGTGAATATATCCCTGCAAACAGGACAAAGTTGTCCAGCTTATTGTACATAACAGCAAAAACAGTAGAGCGAACGTAAGGTCAAGACAGAAATTAAAAATAAGTTTGTAAACATTATAGTAATGAAAGAATAACTAATAGTCATCTTCAGTATACTAGTGTACACATGTATGTGAAAACAAATAATAAATAGGGTTAAAGGCCCCCAACAGAAAATATTGTACGCAGTATTTCATCAGAAGTGGCTCAAAAACAACATTTTCCACTGCATACATTTAATTCAAATAATGAGTTGATTTAGGGGCTCTTGGTTGATTCCAATTAAACTTAGATTTTTAGATTTTTTAAATGGTGTAGTAACCATAAGTTAGCCTCGTAGTAGATGTAGTTGTAAGTAATATACCTTGCCACACTTAGGCAAATTTGCTGGGGTATATATATGAGTCAGCTAAGTTACGACAGGAAGTATACATTATAAACCAGTGGCCAGAGTTAGCTTAAGTAATTATTCCTATCCTATCCTTATATGCTATGTTAACTCTTCATTAGTCTGTCTTGCACTTCCTGATCTTAACGTTATAGGCAGCTAGTATTTTTAAAGTAGGAATAATTATGTTTGCATGCAACTAGAAGAGGTGAGTGAATGTGTCTTCTACAACTTAGAAAATATCAAGCTTTTATGTCTATACCCATAATTGCATTTGAAACTACACCTTGATATAGCCACACCTTTTATCACCAGTACTGTACTGTGCTGCAATGTCTGCATGCAAAGAATTTTAGGTGTGCACTTTATGTAATACTATTGGTTATTATTAATACATTGTATTATAGCTTTGTTAATGTTATCATTGATGTTTATTATTAGTGCATTATGCCATAATTTATCTCAGTACTGCATATACTAGTAACTCTTTTTGTAAAAATATATATATGTACTTTTGGAGCTAGTTTAGTAATGCATGCCCTTATCACTTCACATTCTGAAGTCACCCATATATTTGGTAATGATGATAAAAGGATTTAAAGGAGATGTCATGATGCAGCTTGTAGAGATACACTCAATTTTAATTGGCATAAAAGAGGAGAGGAAGAAATCAATTTTCTGACATTGACGGACTATATGAGGCCTACATAATTCTTGCAAAAATTTATTATTATCATTGTTGTTATCATCAAGTTTCACAGGAGTAACAGAAACTGTTGATACCTAGATGCAAAATATATAAACTAAAGAGAGAACAGAAAATAAAATAAAAATAAAAATAAACAAAAGATAAGCAAAACAAGAAGTGAATGTTTTTTGACAAAAAAACTGAGAAGAGGGAGAAGTCTTGCTTTTTGCCTGTAAATTTAGAAATGTTTAAAAGTTCAACTGTGTATATTTTGATTCAAAACTTGTTTAATAAGCTGCTGTTCATAAGTATGGTTTCTGGAGACCTTTTCTTGACTATAGTCTATAATGGTAGACTAGATTAGTTGTACAGATATTCATTGGTACTATTCATTCAATTTTAGTAATTCAAACTAGAGTAGATTATTGTAGCAATTTATTGCTCTCAGCCCTGCAATATTACTATGCTATAATAAATTCAGTTGTAGCAATTCAGAACTAGTATAGACTTGTAGCAATTCATGCATCAATTGCTACAATTTGTGCTAGCTAATGCTCTTTATGTGTAGTGAAGTTTGTGTGACTTGTCTCAGCGTACAACTCATCCACAGTATAATGAGTATATTAGATATGTAAATATGTTGCACTATTGTTTTTCTTTAGGAAAAATGTTGCAGTTTGTCTTTTTGATTTTACTCTTTTCTACTTGCGTTCAATTCACTGAGTCTTGCACTAATGGCTCAGTTAGACTGGTAAGCCCCTTGTATTATACTCATGTATGTGATATAATTATACTTATTAGGCGAATCCCAGTCTTTCATATGGAGCAGTTGAGGTTTGCTCTAATGGATCCTGGGGAAGTATATGCAGTGACTTTTGGGATAATAATGATGCCAGTGTGGTATGCCAGCAGCTAGGATATTCTCCTTATGGTATGATAGTATCATCTCAATAACTTTTATGTTTTGTGCTATACAGGTGCTATAGGATCTGTGGTATCATATTTCAATTCTAGTGCACAATCACATTCTATCATTGACTTGAACTGTACAGGAAATGAAGCCACTATACTGTCCTGTCCACATAATGGTCTGGCTGGCTATGCTTGCTCCATAAACAGAGATGCTAATGTCTTTTGTCAGAGTAAGTGTCTCTATAATCATAGCTATGAGTGTGTCTATTTTTAAATTATTTAAATCAAGATATTGGTACACTTAAAGCAGACTGTACAGAAGGTGAAGTGAGACTGGTTAATGGTAACACACAGTATGAAGGACGTGTAGAAATATGCATCAATAGAGTATGGGGAACTGTATGTAGTAGAAGCCACAGCATTTTATACTCTTGGGATACACTTGACAGTAATGTTGTATGTAGGCAAGCAGGACACATGGAGCTAGGTAATTGAAGTACATGTAATGCAACTAATATACATAATATTTAGGATCAGTTGCATATACTACAGCTAGTGAATTTGGGCAAGGCTCAGGTCCTATACTGATTTCTTCAATTCAGTGTAGTGGACAGGAGTCACATCTTATTAACTGTTCCTATTCTCCACTAATACCATCATACTGTTCACACACTTATGATGTTGGAGTCAAATGTGAAGGTGCTTATTTCACAACTATTGATTCTTCATTGCTAGATCTATCTTTGTAGCTCCTTGTGCCAATGGTACTGTTCGTCTATATAGTGATTCAGGTAGCTATTTCAGGAGACATGGACGAGTTCAAGTGTGTGTGAATAATGTCTGGGGAACAATTTGTGATCACTTTTGGGATGAAAAGGATGCAAGTGTAGTGTGTAGAATGCTTGGATACTCTCCCTATGGTAACAAATATTTAATTGTCTTTATGTGTACATTCTTTTCTTTTTACTAGGTGCTTCTGCAATAAAAAATGCATATACTGAAGGAACATGGTATATTCACATTAATGATCTTAATTGTACTGGGACAGAGTCTTCTCTTTGGGACTGTCCTATGAATGGACTCAGTGAATATTCATGCAATCATTATGATGATGCTGCTGTTGCTTGTCAATGTAAAACAGTACATGTATAGCTTCAATGATACTCCTTTTTTAGTTACTGATGTGAAGTATTCTACCTGTACTACTGGTGAAGTGAGATTAGTTGATGGCATGACAAAGTATGAAGGAAGAGTTGAAGTGTGTGAGAATGGAGTTTGGGGTTCAGTCTGTGCTACGCATTCATCTAATGATAGAAACACTTACACTTTATGCCATGAATTAGGATATCAAGGTATAACAGTCATTGACATGTAGATATTATTTTTTGTTGTGTAGGTGGTATAGTACTTCCAAGCTCAAACTTTGGTGTTAGTAATAATCCAATTTTGATTTATCAATTGTCTTGTGGTGCTCTTCAATCAAATCTAAGTAACTGTTACCAAAGAAAGTATCCATACTATTATGTTAGTACATGGTGGTATATAAGGTGTAACAATTATCATGAACTAAGTATCAGATGTGAAAGTGAGAACACATAATAGCCCAAATGAATTGGATATAATTTCTGTATCATTTTTGCAGATACTTGTGTTGAAAATAAAATAGAACTATATGGTGGCCCTTCCAGTCGTCATGGTAGCATAAGAGTCTGTGTCAATGGTTCATGGGTTATGGTGTGTGGATATGGTAATACTGTCATTGATAATAACCTAGCTAGTGTTGTCTGTTCCAGTATTGGATACTCAGCTTATGGTAAACATCTTTACTATGTTTTGTCTTTTGTTAGTGTATTCATGTAGGAGCTAAAAGTGCTAGAAATGTATGGAACAATTACAACTATCCATATCAGTTTTATAATGTTCAGTGCTATGGAAATGAGAGTAGCTTATTAGACTGTCAGTATAAGACTACAGGATCATGTCCTAATGTGTACAATGCAACAGTTGCTGTCTTTTGCCTACTCCATGGTATACATATAATAGTGATTATCATTAATTGATATTATTTAGATGATTATACTCCAGCTAACTGTACAGATGGTGATATTAGACTTTATGGTGGGTCTATACCCAACCAAGGAATACTTCATGTATGTAGTAATGGAATCTGGGGAACTGTCTGCAGTAATAACAATTGGAATAACATTGAAACTGATATTGCCTGCTTTCAGTTGGGATATTATAGCTACGGTTTGTTTCACTAATAAAAGTGTTAGCTAAAATAATATTTTGCATATATAGGTCATTCATCTATCAGAGGGACCACTAATAGACTGTTTCCAATAATTTATTCTTCTTTTAATTGTCAGGGTAATGAAACAACACTGTTGTCCTGTAGTTCTGGACTTCATTCTAGTATTCAGTATTGTACTGACAATGCCATTGAATTAAACTGTGAAGGTTAGTTTAGGTAAGTATATGTTTATATTATGCTGCTGTTGTGTCATTAGCAAATTGTACATCTGGTGACATTCGTCTTGTTGGTGGTGGATACAATTATGGTCGTGTTGAAGTTTGTGTTGAAGGAGTATGGGGAACTGTCTGCAGAGATAGCTATTGGGATAATAATGATGCTAGTATTGTTTGTAGGCAGCTAGGATTCTCTCCTTTTGGTAATATTATTGTTTTAAATGCTGATCATTGTATTTTGTGCAAAATTATCACGCACCATTCATACATATCTTGTGCTATATGTATAGGTTCGATTGCTGTTACTTCTTCCTGGAATAATGAAGAACATGGAATAACTTTTTTGACTGGTTTAAACTGCAATGGAACTGAACAAAGCATCTTTGACTGTCTAGTTGATGCTAATGCTCCTGTTTGTTCATCTAATTGGGCTGATGCTAATGTTGTTTGTCCAGGTAGACTAAATATACTTTTTTCATAAATGAATTCTAATATTTTTAGCTCATGGTGTGTCAACCTATTCTAATTGCACTGATGGTGATATTAGATTGGTTGGTGGTAGCACAGAATATGAAGGAAGAGTTGAAGTTTGCCTTAATAATGCATGGGGAACTGTTTACAGCTCTAGCAGAGAATACTTTGCTCAGACAGTATGCAATGCATTAGGTTTTACCTCTCCTGGTACGTATTGGTATACAGTTATGTATATACTTTATTTGCATTCTGTAGGTGCTGTTTATTACAAACAATTTGGTGAAGGAAGTGGTCCAATATTAATGTACACAAGCTGCTATCCCGTAAGGAACTCTTTGTTTGACTGTACTTTACGACCACAGAGCATTCCACACACTAGCCATGAGAATGATGCTGGTGTAAGGTGTGAAAGTAAGGGGTTGCCTGCCCCTTTAGATTTTTTTTAATTAACATTATTCATAGTTCCTTGTAAAAATGGTGACATCAGACTAGTTGGTGGTTCTGATCCATTGATAGGAAGAGTGGAGCTATGTGTTAATAAGACCTGGGGTACTATATGTGATGATTATTGGGATGACAATGATGCCAGTGTTGTGTGTAGACAAGTTGGTTTTTCTGGACAAGGTCCTATAATTAAAACTTATACATACATCATTAATAGATAATTAATTATAGGGGCTAAAGCAAGATATAGTTCATACACAGAAAGGCTCAAATCATTTCACATTATTGACTTAAACTGCAATGGAAGTGAAGAAAATGTGTTTAACTGTTCTCATAATCTTGTTCAGCAGCACACCTGTACTGACTATGAAGATGCTAGTGTACAATGTACAGGTATCAGCAACAAGTATTCTTATGATGGTCCATTTTATATTTAATAGCATCCAATACCACTAGCAACTGTACTACTGGTCATGTTAGATTAACAGGTGGTCAGTCCCAGTATGTTGGTTTAGTTGAGATATGCTATGGAGGAGTTTGGAAATCAATATGTCCTAGAGGGTGGGATAATCGTGAGGCACAAGTTGTATGTAGACAATTAGGATTTACTTCTATTGGTTAGCTGCTCATTGGCTATACTATATATAGTCTAATGCTATAATAATCTTTAGGAGCTGATTCTATTAATATTGGGAAAGGTTTTAGCCCTGTACATTCATCATATTTTACTTGCGCTGGAAGTGAAGCCACTCTACTAAACTGTAGCTATTACACTCATTCCTGTAGCAATTCATACCATGCTGGAGTTGATTGTGAATGTTAGTGCAATCTGCTTCCGTTGTTATTGTTTATTGCTTATTTGTTGTTATTTTATTGATTATCTGTTTGTTGCCCACTTCTCTTATTATAGCTCCTTGTATTGAGGGAGCTGTTCGTTTAGAAGGTGATGATAGATATAAAGAATTTGGTCGAGTTGAAGTATGTATTAATGGAACTTGGGGCACCATTTGTCACAATGGTTGGGATAATAATGATGCCAGTGTAGTATGTAGACAGCTGGGATACTCTCCTTATGGTAAAATTTTGTATATTTTTCTATTCATTATATTTAAAATACATAGGAGCTATAGCTAAAGCTTCATATTTTACTGAGACCTGGTTATCTTTTTACCTTTACAGTGTGAATTGTAATGGTAATGAAAGTACACTGCTTAACTGTTCCTACTCAACTACTGGAACTTGCTACAACACTCAAGATGCTGGTGCTATTTGTCAAAGTTAGGTTTTAACAAATATAATTCATTTTAATGAAATTTGTAGGTGTTAGTATTGCACATGATAATTGTACTGATTATGCAATTCGCTTGGTGAATGGAGCAACTGCTAGAGAGGGAATAGTTCAAATATGTCTTAATAGAGCCTGGGGTGCATTTTGCTATAAGGAAAATTATTACTCTTATGGTGTGGATGCTAACCTAATTTGTAGAGGGCTAGGCTACAATGGTAATTATCATACTTTGAGTTACTTTGTTAATTTTATTAATAAAGGCAATGGAATGACTTATCTTGCTGAGTCTCCTAGTGTAGATGTTTTGCTGATAGCTGGTATGATCTGCTCTCAATCTGCTACTAGTATTAAGCAATGCAGTCTAACACATTACACTAAGTTATCTGTGTGTGACGCTAGACACACTGCAGCAGTTAGATGCCACAGTATGACCAATTTATGTCTATTGGTTTTAATTATTATTCTATTCTGCATCATTAGATTGTACTGAAGGTAGTGTTAGACTGATACCTTATAATTCTTATTCTGAAGATGTTGGACGTGTTGAAGTTTGTGTTGATGGTACTTGGGGTAGTATATGCTATCATCATTTTACTGACAATGATGCTCAAGTTGTTTGTAGACATTTAGGATACACTGCATTAGGTATGTATTTATATTTTTTAAATATAATAATGATTAGTACATGTAGGATCAATTTCAATAGGAAAACTCTATTATTACATGCATATCAACATTCCCCTTCACATTGTTAATCTTAATTGTACTGGTAATGAAGAGAGTATATGGGATTGCCCCTCAAGTACACAAGGACAGGAATCCTGCACTGTATACACTGATGTATCAGTTGCTTGTCATGGTACCAAAATCATAATACGTATAGTTATTACTCAATCACAGGTTTTGCTGTTAAGTATTCTGATTGTGCTAATGGTCAGATACGCTTATCAAATGGAACAAGCAAAATGGAAGGAAGAGTTGAATTGTGTTACAATCATGTTTGGTTTGGAATATGTGCTGGTAACTATAATAATTACTATAATATTGAAACTGTTTGTAACTCAATGGGTTATTCAAAAAGCAAGCACAAAATAATCATTATTGTTTTAGTCTCAAATAATGCTCATAGGTGCTACAGGTCCTGGATATTCTAGTTCGTTCCTGGATTTACCAAATGTTCCATTATTCCCCTTTCAGATCTACTGCTCTAGCATCATGGGTTCTTTGTTGAATTGTTCAAATGGAGCTAACAGTTGTTACAGTAGTTATTCCTCTAATTACTATAAATATTTAGGAGTAACTTGTGAAGGTAGTATAATTTGTGTTTGAACTTGTTTACATTTTATACAGGCAAGTGTCTTCATGGTGACATTAAGCTTACAAGTTCAATATATAGCTCTGTTGGTAAAATTAATGTATGTGTGAATGGTGTTTGGGGGAGTATCTGTACAACTAGCTTTGATGATGCTGATGCTAGTGTGGTTTGTGCTCAATTAGGGTTCTCACGATTTGGTTAGAAAATACTGTGTATGTTTTAAATAACATTTTACTGACAGGTTCTGTGTCTATTCTTGGTTCTTCTGCTTACAATGAACCAGTGCATTTTAATGATTTAAACTGTACTGGAAATGAATTAAGTATTTGGGAATGTCCATTCAATAATGCTACACAAAAATGCTACAATAAGGCTGCATATGTGATATGTCGGAGTAAGTTGCTGATGTTATAATTTAGTTATAATGTCTATTCTAGCCAATAATGCTACTGTTGATACTTCATGTACAACTGGTGATGTTAGATTAGTTGGTGGTATCAATGAGTATGAAGGAAGAGTTGAAATATGTTACAATCAAATGTGGGGAACTATTTGTGACTATTACTGGGGTACAACTGAAGCTAATGTTGTTTGCAAACAGCTTGGCTATCAGATGACAGGTATTTATCTCTAATATTTTTTATATTGTTTTTTAATTTCTTATTGTAGGGTCAGTATCATTACGTGGTAGTTATTATGGAGAAGGGCAGACACCATTTTTTGTAAGAAATTTACGTTGTTCCAGTAGTCACAGTTCACTAATAGCTTGTGTTTACAATTTTAATGATATTGCTTCTTATTGTGGTACAACTGATGCAGCAAGTGTCGTATGTTTAGGTAAGCATTATAATGAACATTATTTTTTACTTAATAAAAATAGAATCCTGTAATGATGGTGATGTAAGACTGAGTGGATCATCAATGACATATGCTGGTCGTGTTGAACTGTGTGTTGAGAGATCATGGACTACACTGTGTGATCAAACATGGGACTTTAATGATGCTGCAGTGACTTGTAGACAACTTGGATACTCTTCATATGGTTTATACAGTTATATATTAATTTGTATTAATATCATTATAGGTGCTATACCAACATACAATTGCTATACTGAGGGACAACTGTTATTTGGTATTACTAATCTTGGTTGTAATGGGTCAGAAAAACATATTTTTAACTGTACACACAGCAGTCCATATTTATATAACTGCAAGTCACATAATGATGCTGGCTTAATTTGTCAAGGTATGTATACCCATATTATGAGATGCATAATTATTTCATATAATTGTGTAATAGGATCAGTGCAACAGTCTAATTGTACTAATGGTGAGGTTAGATTAGTTGATGGTAGTGGTCCTTATGAAGGAAGAGTTGAAGTGTGTATTAATAAAGCATGGGGTACTGTCTGTTCTAATGGCTGGACTAATACTGATGCTAATGTAGTCTGTAAACAATTAGGATATCTACCAATGGGTTTGTATAATAATCTGATTAAATTCAATATTCAATTATTATAGGTGGAAGAGCAAGATTTGGTAGTGATCATTTTGGTCCAGGAGTTGGTCCAATACTGATGGCTAGTGTTGATTGTACTGGTAATGAGGAATCATTAATAGAGTGTAGGACAAGATCATGTGATGCCACTACTTGCTCTCATTACAATGATGCTGGGGTCACCTGTGAAC